AGTCGTTTGTACAATTATGTGTTTTGTTGCAGGCATTTCATTTGCAAGACTTGAATTGCCGTATGCCAATTCAAACTTTGCAAACCTCTCTCTGTTGGGAATTAGATTTGGCAAAAGAGCTGCTTGCTAATTCTGGCCCACTTTTGATGGACGTGTTTTGCTCTGTGAAAAAAACAAAAAAGATACTCCTTAGGAATGAATGAACACAGGGATGCCAGTTGTCAGGCTATCTGCTCTGTTCACAAGTACCCCCTCACCGGCAAAGAAAGTACAGTTGGGGGTGACCGATCGACGCCATCTTGCCTGACTGCAATATTTTGCTGCGAAGCACAGCCACTGCGTGTACATAGTACAAATCCCCTGGTGTACGTGTGCGTCACACACAAGGAACAGTGCGCGCGGGTCAACCAGCAAAATGTATTGTCCCACCCATGGGACGTCGTTGCTAGGTAGAAGGGCACCCTTTTTTGTTGGCGCACGGAGCCCATAGCCTGAATTCAGGCTTTTTCATGTTTTGGAAAAACAAACTCAGGCATTCCATCCCTTTGCAGGCTGGAAAAATCATGTGTAACACGCACAGAAAAAATATTGCGCATGCGATGCCCCATGGCAATCCCCATGCTAGCTCGATACACGAATTTATCTTCAAGAACACTTGACCACTTGATCCTGATTGGTGGATCCATGGCAACAGTGTGATATACCTAATCGCACAGTCTGTACCATACTCTGCTTATTGCGCTATTCCAAGATGCGAGCGACATTCCAGCTGCATGTGTTCGGTGTAAAGTGTGCTAGTTCCAACTTGACCGTGCCCGCTTCGCGTCACGTTTGCTTAAAGATAAATTCGTTAACGCATTCCCGCTCATGAAACATGGAAAATGTAGTGCGTCTGTGTCCCACAGACTATCCGGCCAGATGTGGGCCACAGACGCGCTACATTATTCCGTGTTCTACTCGCGCTCGTGGGATAACTAACAGTATGAATTGTAAGTTCAATAGGGAGGTTTTGCAAGCAAACGGATACGCTTACACTTACGTTTAGCTATCCGTATCCGTTTCTTACTTACGTGTAGCGAGCGAGATATGCGTGTCGTCTGCACGTATGACGTCATACGCCACTCACTATCCGCTAAACGTGCAGACGACACGCATATCTCGCTCGCTACACGTAAGTAAAAAACGGATACGGATAGCTAAGCGTAAGTGTAAGCGTATCTGTTGGCTTGCGAAACCTCCCTAATGTCTACAGACACACACATGTATATGTACACGTGCGTGGTATTGCAATGTGTTTATGGTGTATTGCAATCGTTTTGTGCATTTGCTCATCTTTTGCATGTCAAATTTTTCAGACCTTGGAGCAAAACCCACTGGCATCCCTGTTAACAACCTATAGTTGTCAACTTAAACAGGCCTTTTTCACCTTAACATTTTGTTAAAAAAATAATTCCAATTTGACTTCCACAAACTTGAAATTCCCTACATGGAAAAAGGTCTCCAAAACTTACACTGTTTTGTGCGTTTAAATAAAGAGTCACGCTTCTGTACCATTTCGAAATAAATACCACCGTGGAAGCTATGTGTTGTCACTTGGCAGTTTTATTTAATATTCATAAATACCTCAGACAGTTTAGCTATTCCTATTGGTCGAGAGCCCGTCACGTGGCCGGTCTTAAACGGATGATAAAGACATGACTAGCTGGTCTTAAACACTTTTCCAGTGTCACAATAAAATGTGGACTCCTAAAAAATCCAGTGCCTCTTACCGTTTCATTGGTTGAACGTTCACAATCCTCACGTAGGCATGCGCAACACTACAAGCGAGTCAGAATTTTATAGTTCTAAATTCAAAACGCAACGCCCCAGGTGCGTTCTGCGTGACATCGCGCAGAACATGTTACGCGCGCGTCAATCTCCATAAAAGGGTTGTTTACATCTTACTCGCCAGCTGAACACTCCATTATTTTGCTAGAGGGATGTTTCAAAAAGCATGAAGTGAACTTGTTGAACAAAATCGGGATTTTTTGAACGAATTATTTGATATTTTTTTATGGATAAGGTATTTATGAATGGGAATAAATATGTGCTCGGTCGGTATTTATCACTCTGTTTAATACCGCTTAGAGTCTGGGTGCTGATAATTACCCTCGCCTCCGGCTCGGGTAATTATCAGCACCCAGACTCTAAGCGGTATTAAACGAGTGATAAAACCTCCGGAGCACACATTTATTCCCTTATCATCAAACCATTATTTTTTTTTATAAAATACATGCACTTTACTTCCAATATGAACTCTTTTTGCATTACAACATTGCACAATTTTCAGTTTTTTGCTCCCTGGGACTTCACCTTGCCAAAAGCTGCACTACAAATGACATACACAGCTACACTCAACCAAAACAGAAAGTCCCCCCTTAGGCCAAAAAAAAAAGTATCCGGTTTCTGGTATGCGCGCGCGTCGCCGTAGCCATGCGCGTCGGCAAAATGAAAAAGTTTTTTTTTCAATGAAAGATGATGTCTCAAAACCGCCAAACTCACTGGTTTGACTGGAATCCTGCTGCTGCACAATTTTAACGTGTTTTTAGATTGGGTTATGGTCGAGAATAAGGTTTATGTGGCCTCTCTGGACTCCTATATATTTGCACTAAGTTTAGTTGGGCACCATTTGCAGTCATCAGCCGACATTTGAAGCAAAAAAATCAGGTAAAAAAAAAAAAGCAGCGTCGCCGCACCACTTTTTGGGCAACCTCCAAACCAGAAACCAGAGACTTTTTTTTTTGGCCTTAATCCTTTTGTGTCTTAACTCAAAAACTACTGGGCACATCTTGCCCAAACTACGACTGATCAGTACAAAAATTCCTTAGCAATCCAGCCATACTCTTTGTTTGGCCGAAAACAGTGATAATGTGTACAAAATGATGCAATTTATGACAAGTGGTACCGAAACAAAAGTTGCACTTTTGTACACACTTGCAAGGTGAGTGTGAACCGCAACATGCACGTATACAAAAGTGCAACTGTTTTCGGTATCATTTGTCATAAATTACATAAATTCGTACACATTATTACTGTTTTGGGCCAAACAAAGAGTATGGCTGGATTGCTAAGGAATTTCTGTACTGATCAGTCGTAATTTGAGCAAGATGTGCCCAGTAGTTTTTGAGTTAGACAAAAAAGTATTGGAAGGGGGACTTCCTTTTTTGGTTGAGTGTATTATAGAAATATTGACTGCTTTCGAGTAGTTTAGTAAAACCGGACCTGATCCTTGGAGTGTTCTATCTACCTTCTGAAATAGAATTTTCCATGGATCACCGAGTTTTACCATACCACAAGTTAAAGCAGTCAATATTTGCTTCATAGCACCTCGCTCACAGATTCTGTTGATTTTAAGCGATAGTTAATTAATTTAAATGCAATTAAAATGTATTTCTATTTCAATAAGAAATTGGTTGAAAATTCACTTGAACATTTTCCAAACCACTCCTTCACAAACTGTTTGAACCCAGCTCTGTAGCGCTAGTACTTGGGAACGATACGCGCAACACGAACGCCCTTGTGCTTTTGCTATGCATATAGTATTTTTGTTGTTATGTGCAGAGTACTGTTCGGCCGTGCACAGCAAGATAGCAAAAATAGCGAATACCATGTGACTCACTCTCGGCCAATCATGATATCAGAACCTGTGGGCGAGGTGTTGTAATATTATTATGACAAAATGCTAATCCAATCACTGAAGTTCAATTTCATCCGTTGCAGCATTGCACTAGTTCACTATCGTTTTTGTCCATTTCATGATTTTTCATTATCAGATTACAGGTACCAAGATCTTCTCCAAGAGTAAAAAACTTTGAACACGGAATGTACAGTTGACTCTCCTTAGTACACACTCTGTTAATACAAAATTCTGGTTATAACAAACATAAAGCCTTAGTCCCGACTGTGCATTCATGTGCACAATGAATGGGACTGATGTTCCTCTTAATACAAAATTCTGATATAACAAACAATTTGGCTAGGTCCGAACGAGTTTGTTACGAGACTCAACTGTACATGTATATTCAACATCAAAGTTTGTTATATCGTGTCTTGGATATTGTAATTTCATTGGTCTATAATAATGACTGTTTACTTCACATACACTGTGTTGCATGTAAATTACCTCATATACACCGTGTTGCATAATTATAAATTACATCATTTACACTACCTAAATTGGGTGCGTGTGTAGGACCCAGGCACCTTGCAACAGAGAACTACAACCTTTCAATCCTCAGGTCTGGCAGGAAAGCTCACAGTAACCAAAAGATTACACTGCAGTGATTTAATTTATTTTGTGCATAGTAAGTTACAACCATTTATCTTTTTGATTTATTGGCATGATATAACAAAACAATTGTTGACTGCTGTGATATCAGGTTTCCAGTGGTGAAAATATATCAGCGTATTGTGTGCTGTTGTAAATAGTACCCGGACGACTGCAATAATATGTCAGTAAAAGTACCTGGATGAGGACGATATTATTTTTGATATTGTCAGCACCTGTGCATTTTAATGCATTTCGCTGGTTCCCGCACAATCAAGAAAGTAGAAACTCACGGTCGTCAACCAGTCAACAGAGCGTAGCACGCGGTGCGGTACCTTCACACGCAGATGCAACACGCTGTAGGGTGTACACGTACTGTTGTCAACCACAATGGCAGCTTCGAGCGGCGCGAAATATATTTTGGTAAGCGACAAATATTCGACAAAATTTGAGAAATGAAGACACTGTCCTGAAATTTCTTTCTTGCGGATCAAGTCAGCCTCAGGCATGTAACTTTTCCTCGGATCTGCTGATTTCCTCTTTTTTTACTTCCCATGTGTGCCATTGAAAATAGAAAAACACTGTACAAAGTCTTGGAAAGATTTGAATTTCCTCTTTTTTTGTGACTTCCCAGTTGCATGCCTGCAGCCTGCAGCCTGATATAAATAATAATAATAATATAGGATTTTTTGGGGGGAGATACAAACTGAACTCGTTTTCGACTCATGCCAAAATAGCTCGAGCAATATATTCTTGTATCCCCCTCAAAGCCATCCTATATATAAATACATATTCAGAATATAAATGTCACACCATTTCCTGCCATGCGCATGAACCAGTGTGCGGAAGCAGTGTGTCCTGCCCATAGTCCATTGCTTTTGGTGTACATTGCTGAGATTTCAACCACATTCAGCTTGGTTATCAATTGATATCAGATTGTTTTCAATCCCTGGTAAATTGCTCAGCGTGGTTGACTTTGACTCCCCCCATCTCCAGTAACATCCTGTCGGGACTGTCCTCCCACTGACCAGGCAACTTCACCTACGTGATAGAAAAAAGGAAATGGCAAATAGCAATCAAATATGGACAGGCATTAGCAATAGGTGGGAGAAAGGCAGAATGCTAACAAGGTATATACCCAATCATTGCCACAATTCGCTCAATTCGTACACCAGTGCAATTAAATATACCCACATACTCAAATAGGGCCAAGTTCGCGCAAGGACTATAGTTGACCAATGGTTAACTAACGCTTGCCCGAACTCTGTCTAGTCGACGGTGGTTGACTACGCTAGTCAACTATTTGGAACCAACCTACTGGGGCTGGTTGCATTGCTGGTAACCAATAGCCTTGCGCATTCATAACGCTAGCAGAGAGCCAGGATCCTGAAGTTTTGCGATGACATTTTGACCAGCGTTTGACTAGAAGACGTTCGCACGTTGCTATTTGTGCGCAGGCGTAAGGTACGTCACAAATCAATCACTAGTCGACTAATATACCTGCGCCCGAACTTGGCCTAGGATGTGGTGTTGAAGATGTTTCACTATTATCCCTACAGCAATTAAGCCAATCAGTCATGTACTTAAACCTAATGAGTAATCTCTCGAAAGTAAAGAGCATACAATTCTAACTACAAGTTTTGACTTACAAAACCCACAGCCACCACAGCCCTAACTTGGGATCTTTTTCTGGTAGGAAAGATTCCAAGCAGTTCTAAGCAGTGTCCTACTCACAGATACAAGCTTAGCAATTACCTGGCTTGAAGTGGGCCCCACAATTTCTACAAATTACCAAAATTTCAGCCCATTGAGCTACAAGGTATTATTTTCACATGACATTAACTTTTACATGACTACTTTTCACATGACGGTAACTTTCACATGACGGTAACTTTCACATGACAGTACCTTTCACATGACATTAACTTTCACATGACGGTAACTTTCACATGACAGTACCTTTCACATGACAGTACCTTTCACATGACAGTACCTTTCACATGACAGTACCTTTCACATGACAGTACCTTTCACATGACAGTACCTTTCACATGACAGAACCTCTCAAATGACAGTACCTTTTCACATGACAGCAACTTTCACATTCATGACAGCAACTTTCACATGACAGCAACTTTCACATGAAAGCAACTTTAACATGATGGCAACTTTCACATGACACTAACTTTCGCATGACACTTAAATTTGGTACATGACAGTAACTCTCACATCACAGTAACTTTCACATCACATGACAGTAACGGTAACTTTCACATGACAGGAACTTTTGCTTTGAACTTTGCAATCTTCATTATCAAAAATTCATTATCTTTATCAAAAAGAAAAGTCCATCTTGTAGTATTCTGCCAACTTACCTTTGCTGCTCTCTCAGCATCCTTCATTTCCATCTTTTTCAGTTTAGCTTGGGCTGTTCTTGTTCCAGAGTCGCCACAACCCCAAATCTAAACACCATATGGAACAAAAACAGCAAACAAGTTAAATATCTCTTCATGAACGCTGTAATGTATATCAACTATAATTGTACACAGTTTTTATATCTGCATTGGTATACTAGTCTTCTCTTTACTGGAGACCAGTGGATTCCACTGAATGGGCTACCCAGTGAAAATAAGATATAAGAATTAAATAACATATAAGATGCAATATCAGGACTGTGTATGGGTCCCCAAAGAAAAGCAGCATGAATTCAACTAATGACCTCTGGTTTTAACTAAGCCCAATAAATGTGTCTCAGTTGTCCTCCGTATTTAGAGCCACACAGTGATGCATACTGAATTTCCTGAAAAAAGTTGTGTTTCCTGAATTCAAAGTCTGTACTTCATTTTTACTTAATATTTGCTATGCAAGCTACTGACCATGTTAGCGACTACGTAAAATTGAATTCTGTACCTCTAAACATTATCCTGTAATTTTCAGGGGAAGTACCGAGAGAGTCTGAAATGACTGCTGGACTTTTCTCGAGGTCATGGACCTTTAATCTGTTGATTTTTCCCTGATTATTTACTGGGTATGTAGCGAATATCAAGTGAAAATACAGTCTCTATTTCAAATTCACGTGCGCAACTTTCAGAAAATTGAGCATGTATTGCTCTATGGCTCTTAATCTGGAGGACATCCAGTACTGGAGACACAACAGACCATTATCATGTTGCGGCCAGTTGGATTTTTCCCATTCAATCAACGTAACCAAAGCGAGGCTGGAAGGAAAAATAGTCTGGTTCCTTTTTGAACAAAAAACATTATCATTCAGTACTGTTATTGGAGACAGGGAACATGACTGAAATGGTGGCAGCATGATAACGGTCTATATGGGGCTAGATTTGACTGGACATGTTTTGGTAATCTACTGAATCAAACTCACCTCCAGCGTACGCACTGATTCACTCCTGTGGTTGTGTTCAACAACTTCCATTCCTTCCTTGAAAGTCAAAATCTTCTTTTTGGGGTTCCGTCCGATACTTATACCACGGGGCATGTTGCGTGATCGATCGTTGAAAAAAATCATGTTTTCACCCTCTAAGGGAAAAAAAGTACATTTAAGAAATTCCATGACAACATTGTCGATAATAATACATTTTAATTCTATAACATTGTAAAATTGTAAAAGATTTTATATTTCTGTCATCTGTTATTGATTGTGGTACCAAGTTGATGCCAAGCAGTTCGCTTTCGCAAACTCTTTTGACTACGGAATTAATTTCTTTAGGACAAAATTAGGAATTCAAACGATGCCCTGTGACACTGTAACTGGCACTGTAACTTTCCGTCTCAAGTCAGTGTAATTTTGAGCCGATATAAGTTGGCTTTATCATATGCTAAGGGTTAAAATGGAGTGCTGTGGCCTCGTGGTTAAGGGCATTGGATTCGTGGTCTGCAGTTAAAGCTGCAGGTTGTGGGTTCGAGTCCAGCTTTGGGCAAGTCACTTTGTCACTCATTGCTTCTCTCCACCCAGGAGTAAATGGGTACCTGTGAGGGCAGAGATGGCTATTGAGATTGAATTAGCTTCCCTGCGCCTAACAGGCTGCATCGAGCTGTATACTCCCCAGGGAGCTGAGATGGTATTTGGAATGTTTCATGGGCCCAATGATGAGCAGGGTAATAATGATCTAGCGCCTTGAGCACCAGTCCTGGTGGATATGTGCGCTTTATAATTACCCACTATTATTATTAAAGAAACTGGAGAGAACGGATTGCAGTTCCCTGGTTACTTACATCACGCTTTCTTTACGCTTTCCTATGGGACCTTGTGGGCTCTCGTGCCCACCTGGCTTCCATAGGAAGCGCACATGTAAACACAACGTGATGTCATTATGTATCAGGTCTATTGAGCCTTGCTTACCTTCAAGTTTCTGCAGATCTGGCATTAGCCTCATGACACAGCAACTACTGCCTCCCCAAGACTGCGTTCCTTCCCTGAAAAAGAGGATTATGAGCGGAAGCAAAATTTAAATTCTACCGTAAAATTTGCTGAACTCCATAATCAGTGATGAAGTCAAGTACTTTTTCCGAGTACCAAGTACTGCCGAGTACTTAGGTTACGGAGTACAAGTACTTGTACCTCCGACTACAAGAACAGGTCTCAGAGGACGAGTACTTGTACTTCCGAGTACGAGTACGAGTACGAGTACTCGTACTTCCGAGTACGAGTACGAGTACTTGTACTTCCAAATACAGCCATACGGCAAATGGTTTGTGCCTAATTGGCCCAGGCCCAGTCAGACCGATATACAGACCCGACGTGCCCAGAGGAAAATCAGGAAACTGTAATTTCTCCACAAGCCAATCAACCATTTCAAACTGAAAGTACTGATAAAATAAGGCCGTGGTAAGTCAAGCTTTACCATTCCCCCCCCCCCCCCCCCGAGTACTGCTATTTGAGTACAAGTACTTTGATGATCAAGCAGTTTTGACATGACGAGTACTTTGCTGCCCGAGTACGAGTACCGTCATTTCGAGTAAGAGTACTCTGACATTCGAGTACGAGTACTCCAAAAAAGTACTCGAGTAGTACTTGAGTACCGAGTACGAGTACTACAACACTGTCCATAATGCAAAACATTGTTTGCAATAGATCTTTTACACTGCAGCCAATTCGTGGTTCTTTTCCCTTTATCATTGGTTGTTGTTGCTCTAAGCGCCATGATCTAGATGGAATGGTGCTATAGAAATCCTGTATGATTATTTAACATGTAAGCATGATTAGAACACATCCCTGGCCATGCACGCTCCACATTTGTAAGCGCTAACCATTACACGCAAAGGGGCACATCACACAATGTCGCTCAAATTCCTGCAAATACATATTTGTCTTTTTCAAAAAAAAAATTTTATTCGGAAAGCCTGAGCCTACAGCTGCAATTGCACTCACTACCCCGGTTCCCGATTCAACCGGTTCCCATATGCGTACCTCCACTCTGTGTCCACTGCCACCGCGTACACGTCCCCCTGGTCACAGCTCAGTATCATGAGCGTCGGCCCCCGGTAGCCGAACACGTGGTGCTGTAGACGATTGGTGCTCAGGCCGTGGTCCGAGCTGCTGTAGAGAAGATCCCATACACTGTCCAAAGCTGACTCCTAGGAATAGATGACATACATGTACAATGGTGAGTAGCACCTGTTTAATGGATTCAGTACTCTAGAGAATGTGTTCAATGATTAAGATGTCGGTCATTCTAAAAAAGAATTTTCTGTCCCTGTTACATCTGACATCTTAGATTTTATAATTTGGATGCATTCCTTAAACCTGCTCAATCCAACAGGATCCAACTATCTGACATACCTGCTGGGTCGTGTTGGATTGAGCAGTAAACCCTTGTATGTATTCCTGTTGAAATCTGTTGGATTCAGCAAGCAACTGAAAACATTCAGAGTCGGATTCTGTTGGGTACTGGTAAATAACGCCAAGTTGGACTCTGTTGGATCCAGCAGCAAACAGAAAAATAAGGGACAGTTGGATTCTGTTGGATTGAGCATGCCAGTCATTTGATATTTTCAGGTACCCAACAACTTGGCAAGTTGGGTTGTACTTGTTCTACATAACCCCCGAGGACAAACACACAAAGGGAGAACAACAGATCCTTTCAGTCCTTGGGAGTTGGGTCTGTTGTTCAAAACAATCCTCTGTGGTAGGTTTGTGGGCTTAGTCTATGGGAGTTTGTTATATTACAGGGACAAAGGAAAACACAAAGCATTGTCCTCGGGAGTAAAGTAAAACAAGAGCGTTTGCGTGGGACTGTGTTGGATTGAGCAGGAAACTCATATGAGTAACCATCAGACTCTGTTGGATTTAGCAGGGTAGTCCTGGGGAAGTACTGGGGGGTAAGAGGGAGTCAGTCAGTGACTCAGTCAGTCAGGGGGCAACAGGCTTGCCCTTCTTGTCCGGCAAAAAAATGTTAAAATTAACTTACTTCTGCAGCCTCCTCAGACTGTTGAGCTGACCTAGCCTTGCTCTTCTTAGTGAAGACACTTGAGAGAGATGACTGGAGAATCCACCACCAGGCTCTGCATAGCAACCGTCCCGAGAATTCATCCTCAACACCGGAAACATCAGAAGGCTTCTGCTCAAGATGCAAGAATTAAATGAATCCTGTAAGAGGTTCCTCTTTGACAAATATGTCATTATTATTAATTATCAATATTTATTTCTGGTAATGAAACCCAGGATTCCTCAGAACCGCCACAGGCACTGTACCTGAAGAAACCCACAGAGAGAAGACAATGTGAAGAAATAACAGTTTTAGAGGTGGGAGGAGAACCCCAGAAGAACATTCTGGGGAAAACCCACAGAATCAAGTAGGGACTGAAAACCCAATCCATAAAATGGCCCAGGCAGGAATGGAACCCGGGTCACAGCAGTGGAAGGAGGAAAGTACTGCTACGCCAACCTGACTCCCAAACCTGGAGCGCTGTGGTCCAATGGTCACAGTGTTCGACTCGTGCCGTGGTACGTGACGAGGAACATGGTGCTTGTGTTTTTGGGCAAGACACTTTACTACAATTGCTTCTCTCCACCCAGGAGTATAAATGGGTACCTGTGAAGGTAGAGACCAGAATGCACTGATCTCGAGCTGCTGCAAAAACTGGTCTCATGGCCTGATTAACAAGGGTACTTTTTTGTGAAGCGTTTTGACACCTTTGGTATAAAGCACTTTATGAATAAGCCCCACATTATTATTATTATTATAAACTGACACCCCAATGTTGTAAGCTCAACACACATGTGACCGGATCCAATGAAATGAGCCTAGCAGGCAAATGTTCACTTATTTGTCACATGGAGTAGCTAGAATGTCTCTATTTGTCAGAGTTCGACTGCATAGCTTGTGAGTTGACTTGGGACTGAATGACTTATGATTTACTTGCAATGACTTATGATCCACACAAGTACCATCGACTAATGCCCTACCTCCTCTCCCCGCAGCCATCCCACGAGGCACCTGTGCATCTCGGTGAAGAGCTCCGGGCAGATAGCATCCATCCATTCGGCCGCCGTCGTTACCATGCCTTTGGAAGTCAGCACCTTCGCTAGTGCCTGAATGGCTGTGTCGTCCGCACCGCTGCGCCGCGCCGGAACCCCGGCATTGTTGAGGAAGAACATGAGGGCCGTTTCCAGAAGGTTGGTCACATCTACAATGTCAGTGATATAATTTTGAGACTTTAATCCCACTTCCGAACTCTGTGCGCATATGGTAGACGACACTTTGTAACTAGTTTCGAAAGCCCCAATGGGAGGGACTCCCCACATGAGCGTACTGTTGCGCGCTCATACGGTGCAAAGCATGCGTGACTTCTTTTTTTCTGAATCTGCACGAACATATGGTGCCTTCAGGTTCTGCATAATTTTCTAGGTTGGATGGGATAACAGAAAACATATGTATTTTTCTCTTGGCCAAACAAACCATTGATCTCACCTTGAAGTTTGAGACTTATACCACTGAAAACAGCAATATACAAGCTATTCTGTGCCGACGTTGTGGCTACAGAGAGGATCTGGGATAACGGTTCGGTGCATTTCAGTTTTGTGCATTCAGAGTCTGAAGGACTTATCCGTGTGAACAGTCTCCCTGCGAGTGGTCGACCAACCTCCGGGAAATAATTCTGAAAATACAAAAAAAAAGTACTTTTATTTAAATAATTTATGCCAAATCAAAAAAATGAGCCTCCCTCCACTTTTTTTTAATCATACATTTGCAATATCTATTTTGTATTTGTTTCCAGCAAACTTTGAGCCAGGTATGCAAGTTATCGGATAGAAAGGGCTGTGTTCTTTGGAGTCGACAAAATCGAAGAATCCATTTGCCATCTTGAAATATCTGCTATCTTGAGGAATAAAAAAGGGCCTCCTCCTTGCTATTCTCAAAAAGGGAAACTAAACTTTGTATAATTGGCCTTAGGCCGAGTAAAAAATAAAACAGTTTCTCGTCCTGGCTTTTTGGAAAAATGTAGGAGGTGGGAGCTTGTGTTTTTCTATTTTTTTCCCTCTAAGATGTCGGGTTTTCCATTATTGCAGATGAATTCTTCCATTTTCTTGATTTTTACTGATATAAAATTGTGTCCAAAGGAGCCGTTATCCTTTCTACATAGCAGCAATTTTGTTGGAAACACAGAAAAAGACACTTTATTGACAATATATTTGCAAAATACACTGCAAATGTATGAATTTAAAAAACAATTAAAAAGGAGGCAGGCAGGAAAAAATTAAGCAGGCAAGGACGAGGTGTTTGCTTTATTTACTTTGCTACATAATACAAAGATTCATTGATCGATTTTCATATAGAGTAGCTTACTAAAACAAAAACAATGGTAATAATAAAAATAATATGGATTTAAATATATCTTATTAGGAAAACAGTGTCTTCAAAACCTAAATGATTATGTGATGAAATGAAACAAGTAATTAAAATTAAATTAATAATCAAAAATTTGATAACCACAAAAAGAAAACTCACAGAAGAAAAAGAACTGCCTTACTTTGAAAAAAAATTGGATTGAATTCAATACATGTAGTTAAATTGCAGTGGCTAGGCTATCGTTACGGCAGCCGTAACGCATTTCCCATTTTCTATCGTTACAGTAGTACTGCAACTTTTATAAAAGCATGAGAAGAAAATATAAAATTAGAAGGAAAAAAATTGAATTTGAACGTTATGAAATTCGGACTTTATTTCCCTTTTAAAAAAAATCCTCCAAAGCCTCAGGTTAGAAAGGAAAAAAATTCAAGTGCAAAACTGAGATGCGAACCCGCAACCTCGCGGTGCAAAATCCTACCCTCTATCGACTGAGGGCAAGTTCGCGCAAGGACTATAGTTAACCATTGGTCGACTAACGCTTGCCCGAACTCTGTCTAGTCGACGATGGTTAACTACGCTAGTCGACTATTTGGAACCAACCTACTGGGGTTGGTTGCTTCGCTGGTAACCATAGCCGCGCGCGTTCATAACGTACAGCAGGGAGCCAGGATCCAGACGTTTTGCGATGACATTTTGACCAGCGTTCGACTAGAGACGTTCGCACTTTGCTATTAGTGCGCAGGCGTAAGGTACGTCACAAATCAACCACTAGTCGACTAATGGTCCTTGCCCGAACTTGGCCATTGCTGTCGCACTGCTCGCTAAAACGTGGGGAAACAAATAATTATATACCTGCGTGCGTATCAAAAAAGTATCGTAGAGGGCGCTAAGCAACGGCTGCCGTAACGATAGCCACTGCGTAGTTAAATTGCTCAACAGTTTTGCATGTTTAATTGACGAGGGCAGCATATTCTTTGCTGCAGTGACTGTGAAGGTTCTGTCACCATCAGAGTTTGTTTGTTCATTTTTTTAAAATTCAAAATTGGTTGGTTTGCTCAATGTTACTTACAATGAAATCGTCTCTGCTTACTCTGTCACTATGTGAAACAACCTGGAGGAAAGGAAAGATGACGAGATTGAAGAGTTATTCCTGAGAACTTGCCCCTACCATGACTTTATTTGATATAATCAATCAACTGTTGTCAGGTGATTTTAGATGGATCAGTTTGGACTCTAATCAAATTTTCCATACTTAAAACAAAAAGAATGGTATGTAGATGGAATTTTGCGTCAGGGTGATGTAAATCAAATTAGGTTTTGCCCTTCACTGACGTACAAACAATGAGTATACATTGTTTGTACTTCGGTGAAGGGCAAAACCTAATTTGAAGAATGGTAGGTTTCTACGGCCACTAGTAATATGAGAATGAGTCACCTTATGCATATCCCTGTGGCACAAAAGCATGCATTTCAAAGACGGATGTAATGCTGAAGAACTTTACTGCAATAAAGTGCAAGTCACTCATAAGTTTTATTTCTCCATAAAAATGATAAAACGACAACTTTAGTGAAATTTCTGATCCATATTAACCCGTTGTGACTTACCGCAAAGAAGTGGTTCAATTGACTGTTGTTCTCCCGCGATCCCTTGCCTGCTTCATGTCTTTGATGGGATTCTTTAGCACCCATTGTGCTTCATCTAAATCTCAAAATGGTTGCAAACAATCGGTCCTACTAAAGCGCGTCAACAAGCGTCAACAAGCGTCAACAAGCGTCAACAAGTTTTAGTAGTCGTTAAGTGCGCGTCAACAAATTTTGTATAGGCCTTTGAACAATAAAAACAGCTTTATATGGTAGAAAAAGCAATAATGAACATCTTCTGCATATCAATTAAAGTTAAAATTACTTAAAAAGTGGTTTTCCAGCGCGAAATCTACGACGGGTTTTTCGGTTTTGTATTGGCCGCCATCTTGTTTGAGATCTACATACTACGCATGCGTGGAGTGTACCATTCACACATAGGGGTTTCTTTATACTATACGCTTTGCGAAACCTCGTTTGGTTTTTGCATTGGGATTTTTTGGCAGACATTGTGAACAGTGTCAGTCGGCATATTTTTCAAATAATTAGCCAAGTACCGTGACCAAGTTTTGCATAATTTATAATTGAAAAAAATAAATAGTTTTCCTAATTTCTAGAATTGAATATTTTCGGCAACAGAGGGCTAATTGGACTGCCAGCTGTTCTGAGGACAACATTCAGAAGCTCAAGAAAGTTCAATGTCTGATATGATAGTCATGATTACTGCTACTTGTGGTAAGTACAGAGACATTTTAGTGCTATTTTAAGAAATTCCCTGCAAAGAAACCCCTATGCGTGAATGGTACACTCCACGCATGCGTAGTATGTAGATCTCAAACAAGATGGCGGCCAATACTAAACCGAAAAACCCGTCGTAGATTTCGCGCTGGAAAACCACTTTTTAAGTAATTTTAACTTTAATTGATATGCAGAAGATGTTCATTATTGCTTTTTCTACCATATAAAGCTGTTTTTATTGTTCAAAGGCCTATACAAAATTTGTTGACGCGCACTTAACGACTACTAAAACTTGTTGACGCTTGTTGACGCTTGTTGACGCGCTTTAGTAGGACCCCAAACAATGTATGACTGCAACCTGGATTCAGTCCCGCGAATAAATGACTCGTGTGTGACACATGAACGATGATCAAAAACTACCCCGGAAGTAAACAATGATGAGTAGGCTGGAAGGGCGCCCTCAATTGGTGACTGCAATTACTTTAGCCACGTGCCTTGTGCGCTGGATTTTAACCACACGCCTTTGCACGGTGCGCTATTAATTATGTACTAAATTGCAGTTTTGGTGCACTCGACTAGAATCTGATCAAAACACTTAGTTAGGTAGACCATCATGCAACGAAATCATGTGATAATCTTTTAAAACACAGCTTATATGAGGCTGAGGCCGGCATTAGCTGGACGCTAGTGGGTTGGGCCGAATCGAAGCTATAGCCAGGGGCCGGTTCGGCGAGGAATCATGAGGTAGGCATGCACCACCATGTGCGCGTTATAGTCCGGAGTAAGGCCAAAAAAAAAAACCCCAAAACAATCGGTCTCTGGTCAGACCGCAGTTCCGGAATTGATGCAGTGACGCGGTTTTTTTTGGGGGGGGGGGGTTGGTGGCTTTTTTTTTCAAGCTTGAATTGTACAGACAAGGTGGGTACTTTATTTTGCTTTTTTGTGTCCTCATTATACATTGGTGTCCTCCATAATTTGCCTTGTTCCCCTTTATCATTTGCCTTGGTGCAATTTCCCCATTCTTTGGTGCTCCTTGGTTCAAAAATTTGAGGAGGTGCGGCTGTTGTAGCTTCCGTGTCAATTTGAAGAAAAAAAAGGTTGACGCCCATGATTAAAATCGACGCGCGCGCTGACCAGAGACCGAGTATATTTTTTGTTGGCCTAACAAAAATGATTATTTTGATGGTTTACTCACAAAATTATTTCAAATAATTGTGTGTCGCAAGAAATGCACACAATACTCTTGCAAACAAAATTTCTCTATGCCTGCAACAAAAAATTCCAGAAGCTATAGCGTTTGCATTTCATAATTAAGTTTAATTGCACACATACGTAGGCCTACGGCTGTATGGAGTTGTCTTATAGACTATTCAAGATTATATAATACAGATCTTGCATGGTACAGACTGTATATAGTTGAGATTTCAGTTAGAGATGAGAAAGAACAGAGATCGTATAATTAAGGCCCCCCAAAAAGTCTCCGGTTTCTGGTATGCGTGCGCGTCGCCGTAGCCATGCGCGTCAGCAAAATGAAAAAGTTTTTTTTTCAATGAAAGATGATGTCTCAAAACCGCCAAACTCACTGGTTTGACTGGAATCCTGCTGCTGCACAATTTTAACGTGTTTTTAGACTGGGTTGTGGTCGAGAATAAGCTTTATGTGGCCTCTCTGGACTCCCATATATTTGCACTAAGTTTAGTCGGGCACCATTTTTGCAGTCATCAGCCGACATTTGAAGCAAAAAAATCAGGTAAAAAAGAAAAAAAAAGCCGCGTCGCTGCACCACTTTTTGGGCAAGCTCCATACCAGAAACTGGAGACTTTTTTGGCCTATTAAATACAGACAGTATTACAAGGTGATTTCAGTGTTACAAGGATTTCTTCATTTATACTAAGTAGAAGACCATTAACACGACATTGCGGTGTAATTCAAGTTACCATACCTCAAGAAAACTTGAAAAAGTGAATTGTTTTTCTCTAATGACAGGTAACATGCATTTTCTTAAAATATATTTTCCCGGCTATTTTGAAACATACTCATGCAAATTCACCAACTCTATAATATTCCATTTCGTCCGAGAAAAAAATCCACACGCTTTTAACAAAACCAATTTAGTCATGTACCATTCAATTTCAAAGTTTGGTCACCCTCTTTAGTTTCCGGGTCGAGAATATTCGTCATTACAGATCAAAGTTGTCTAGGCTGTTGCAGAATGACAGCATTCAGAGAGCACATCGCTCTTTTACTATTTTCTCAATCAATTTAAAACTTGTAAAAGGTGCATTAGTCTGGTGTGTTCTAAAGCACTTTCCTTGTGTCCCCAAGCACAATTGGCACATTCGTTCGCGTGATTTTTTCGGACCAAAGCAGAGCACTGAAATACAACGTTATTAAAAACAAACGAAAGAAAAGAATTAAAAGCCTTACAATGAAAAAAAGGAAATGTAAAAAGCCACAAAATCGATAACCCATATATCCATGTGCAAAATGCCTATTTGAGTCTGTAACATTAGTGAAGAAGATAAACCACAAGGAGTAATAAAGAAATACGGAAAGAAAAAAGTAAAGACTTATTCTTATATTAAATTATTAGATATGCCTCTGAAGGTAATCGAAAACTCCGGGTCAAAAGCGTGTGCTCATTGTTGAACTAAATTTGAAATTGTCTGACACAAAAGACGAAATTAAACACTGGGGGCGCACAAAATCAATGTTGCCGAACGAATTTGAATATGAGCATCGGTGAATTCGAACGAAAAATGTTTTTAATAGCCGGGAAACATAATAGTATACATAATAAGGCTCGTGCCTCGTATTCCAAACTCATTACACAGTATGACACTGACGTAGTCGAATGCATTTCCGTAAGTACGAATACGGGTACGACTGTTTATGGGTACGAGTACGGGTATTAGCGGGTACGAGTACAAGTACGAGTTCGGGTATATAGTACGGGTACGAGTACTTTGCCATGTGGCTACGGTACCTTGTCATGAGAACGAATACGAATGCGTGTGTGAGCTCGAGTACGAGAATAGCCTTTAGAGCAGTGCGAACACGAAGGCATGATAAAAAAAAAATGTACGAGTACGAGTTCCACAATTACTACACATGTACAATAATCAAGTCCGCTCTCTGCTTGATGAGGTAGACTCTGAGGTGGAGGTTGACGTTGATTAGCAAAAGGTAATGTCTAGATTTTATACACGGTCTTCGCCCATTACAACTACCGTGGGCACAAGCTGGCAGTAGCCGTAGCCATAGCGCTGGAAGCCCGTATTCAGACAGCCTAAAGTTTAACAATAATAGGCCCTATATAAACCTTATGCACGAGGAAGCCATTCTGATTGTTTTTCCTGAATATAGTTTATAAATTGTGAACTATCTAAGCATTCCAATCCTCACTTTCAGTTTTTGTTAAATTGTGGCCTAAAACATTAGGGTAGGCAATGTTTAATCACAATTTTAAAGTATTAATCAGAGCAGACTGGTATTATTAGTAATTACCTTTATTTCATTGCTTCCATTTCTTCCGCAAGTCCCAAAAAAGGAAGGTTTAACCTCACTTTCAATTTGAGATGGCCGACTCGTATATAAGGCTTATATCCGTGGTGGCGATATTTACAGCCCTGTTAATATCGCACTTAACTTGCAACTAATCTTCAGTTTCATCAGTCTAATAATTAAATTATTGCGGTGGGTATGCGGGTGCGGCGTTGCCAGTTGTATTTTTGTGGTCGACGAATTAAGGCCATTGTTTTACTGCTTTTTCCATTCGTCCACAAAACTACGACTTGTATAATAGATTCGTTTATCGGCTGCGTTATTTGCCGCCACGCGCACTAAAGTGCTTCGTATTCGACTTGTTCAAGTCCCCCTAACGCTCGTTACTAACTGGAGTGTAAGAAGGAAAGAAACAAGCCTGATTTATTTAGAAGTGAGTGTGTGTGACGTAATCTGGGACTTTGGGAGATACTCTCGCGAGATTTGAGACTTTAGCTAAGATCTAATTATCGTTTTCCAAACATCCAACCACAAGTCGGCCTTGCGCCGCTATTAAAGGTGGATTGATTTGATTTGGTTTCAAACATGAATTCCTTTAAATAATGGGTTAATTAATGAATTCCGATTGAAGTCATTAATTTTGTGGCATTTGGATAATAAAATTATATTGGCAAGATCATGAGTGCAGAAACGGTTGTGAAATTGTACGTGTTTAAACTTATTGGCCTATAGGGCCTATAATGCACCTTTCAAAATAATTTCTCAAAAGCTCAACAAACAATACATAATCCTGTTGTATTTACATGTACCTACACATGTATTTACACTTATACTTTGTAAGTACATTTTGTGCGGTCGGGATGTGAATTGCGAACTTATTTTGCATAATTTAGTTAAAAGTGCAGCATTTATTGCGGGTATAACCAGATGACGTCACACAGGGATCACTTCACGAAGCACTCTAAAGCACACGTAGGCAAATCAAGCCGTCGGTAAACCAGCGTCCAACTTGGATGCCGACCCCTTATACGCCATGACCCCTTGACCTATGACCCTGATGGCTTCCATAGTCTCCTCTCCAGTCGGGATGATGTAGCGGGGAGGCATCAGGAAGCCGTACCGTCCCTTGTCTGGTAACTCGACTGCGTAGGTGTAAGGGACACGGAGCTTTCCGCGGGCCCAGTCTACGCTGTTGCCAGATGCCTTGTCTGTACAATAAAGCAAATAAAGGGATATAGAATTACTTTATTTGAATTGATAAAACCATTAATTAAACGCATATTAATTAAAAGTAAGCAGACTTTGCATTTGAATAATAGTAATTATTGCCATTGCGATATTTTAAAATTAATAACATGCCCACATCCGTTTGGCCATGACCTCTTTCCTCTGTGACCGCACTGGACCTTCTCGCTAAGACAAACTGAAGTTGTGATATAACAAGTTTTACCCACTGAAGATGTTAGAACAGCAGTTGCCATCAGAAATGCCAAAATGGAAATACTTCTGTAGAGATTTATCAAAATACTTGAAGGACTTACATATAACGTCTGCAATGTTGCCGACGGTGTAGTCTGTTCCGTTGACTTTCCTCAAGGCGTCTGTTGCGTCCTTTGCTAAGTTATACTGTGAATAATAAACGAAAGAAATATCAGAAAAAAATAACGAACAGACTAATTGAGAAGAACTTAATTTCAAATTAGGACTTAGCTGCGTCATGCACTTTATCACGCTGCCACCATGACGTGCTCTTTATCCAATAACAGTACTGAATGATAATGTTTTTGGTGCAAAAAGGAACAAGACTATTTTTCCTTCCAGCCTCGCTTTGGTTACGTTGATTTGAATGGGAAAAATCAAGACGGCCGCAATATGATAATTGTGGACTGACGCATTTCGATCTCGCGCGTAGAAGTGTGTTCAAATACTTAAAGCTATAGTCCATCATTTGTAATTTGTGCATTTTGTTCGTTTGAAGCAACAAAAGAGTTCAAAATCTAATGAAGGATACTGAACAACTAACCTGATGAAGTTTCAGCTAAGTTTCAGTTGTACTTTCCGAGAAAAACAGCATTCTAAGATCTCAATTTCAAATCAAAAGTTACTGAATCATGTTTTGAATTGTTTTGAATTGCAGCTATACGCGACGTAGCGCACTGATCCGACGAATTATAACAACCGCGCGCGCGTGTGCGTCGTTCCAATACTTGTGCGCGCTGCGCTGCATAACAAACGAACTACTAATTTAAATTTTCCTACGGTGCTTCTTAAGAATCACCGTTGGAAATGCCTTCTTTCGTTGATTACTTCAAAATGACAGCTTCCCAGAAAGAATAATTTCACAGGGAGTTTAGTTCCCTTACTATCTTTCAACCAAGTTTGTTTTTCAACAATAATTACGCCAGTTACTTTTCGGATGGCTGCAAATGATGGACTATAGCTTTAAAAAGTGTGAATAACTACTAAGTTGTTGAATTCTCAGCTCAGTTGATACTGTAGCCTGCGTACACAATTATGTGGCTCGTATAACTGATTCGCTGCAAACGCACTTAAAAATCGGTGCCCGTGTGCACTGAGTTTCTTCCAATTGATACCACTTATTTATTTATTTATTTATTTCAAAATCTTTATACAGGATACAAAATATCAGCTCAAAGGCTATTTTACATTATGGTCCTGTGATAAGAAATAAAAACATTTAAAAAAGAGAAAAAAACAGCAATTAAAATGATAAAATAATAAAATTAACAATTAACAATGAAGATAATAAGAATAAAAAAAATAACTATCATGATGGTAAAAATGTACGTTAAAAAAAAGACACTTCAAGTGGAATAATTTAAAAGAGTATTTAGTACCAGCCCTATCTTCACTTTGAGCGAGAGTTTCCTCGTTAAATCGTTTCCGGGTAATTACAAAACGTCCCTCTCTTTTTATTTGTTTTATTTTCAATTAATAATAAAAAAAAACAATCCGTACAAAAGTTGCATAAAAGAGGACTCCTAATTATATAGCGTAGACAGCTTTAAGCAGAACTTTCACAATCACCTGTTCTTGGTAGTTGTCAGGTAGCACCGTGTCATAGCCGTATGGTGTCATCCACAGCTGGCTGTAGGCATGGAAGTCGATGAAGCCGTTGATGGGTTGCCTGGCGTTCAGATCCGTCAGGTAGTCGGCTATCTGACGGACCTCGGTCTCCGAGAAGGCGAAGGGTCCCGCGTAGGTGTCGTCACAGCTCATGTCACTCACGCCGCTGACTGTGAGGCGATAACAAGACAATGTATACTTGGTTGGTTCTTCTCCTAAGGACTTCCACAAGGGAGTATAAGGACTTCCACAAGGGAGTGTTACTTGGTTCTTTTACGTGCGTTAGGCCATATACAACACACGGGACCTCCGGCTTGACGTCCCATCCGAAGGACGAAGCAATCATGGTTAAGTGCCTTGCTTAAGGGCACAAGTGTCCGGGCCCGGGCTCGAACCCACGCCACTGTTGCCTCTGAAACACCAGAGCATGAGTCCGGTGCTCTTAACCGCTAGGCCATGACACTCCACGTAGCCCTAGTAAAGCCGGTTCCATCCAGGGCACAGAATATTTTATACTCATTTGATTCATATTGGCTATTCACTGGAAGTCTTGTCACGCATTGGGCCGGATTTACCACATTCAGTTGGCGTTGCGGGGTAATCATGTATGACAGCACTGCCCGGCTAACACGTGACAATCAGTCAGTCAGTCATCCGTCATGTACAAAGGTGTCACGCTAGTTCAAAAATGCGCTGATCTACGGAGTTATAAAATTGGTTGCAACTGGTGGAGCCGGATCGGGAATTTCCCCGTGTTTTTCCCGAAAGGGTTTTTGCGGGATTTTCGCCCATCCTGTTATAAGTGATTCATACCTTCTAGATCTATAATGTTTAAAATGAACTTGTGTCGTATATAAAAGGTTTATTTCTGTCAAATTTCTGAAAAATTGGGTTTTTTTCGCCTAATGTAAATTCTTATGTGTTTCAATTAAGTGTACTGTTTTATGTGCACATTATAGGGACGATGAATTTCACCGTTAAAGTTTTGTAATTGTGATGAAATAAAATATGGAAATAAGTTGAATTGTCTTTTTGTTTGTTGATTTCATTTACCGACCTCCCCATTCGAAGTCCCAGTTTCTGTTCGGATCGGCCCCTTTGCATCGATTGTGATCGTACTCCGATCGCGTCTTCCTCCAAAATCTGTACTGCATAGGGACGAAAAACAATGTTTGACAATCAAGCCACAAGTAATCAGCAAACTGGAAAATAAATATTGTGATTTGCTAATATAATATAGGCGCGGACGCGGCACGAAATACTGTTAAGTTCATTTTGGGTAGCGTTGCCGAAGTTCCAAAGACTGGAATAGCGCCCTCTACCCAGCGGCGTCGCCAGCTCCTGGCATTGGGGGGGGGGGGCACACCACAAGAGCAAAACACAATTGCAAACAATTTTTACGCTTATGGTTTTTGCCGATGGGGGCCAGTTGCTCGCCGGGGTCCCGGCCCCACTGGACCCCCTCCCCCCTTAGCGACTGCGCTTGCCAAGGACCCGTGAACAAAAAAAACCAACAAAAATCCAGACTTGAACTAAGACTAGCCGTCATCTGTCTCATTACTGAGGCCATGTTCAGTCTACACGGCACCAATCGAGTGACAGAGTGGACAATCAATCCACATAGAGTGCATTCGGAAATAAATCACCTTCTCCCAACTGAAGACATATCCATCCACGTTGAAGACGGGCACGATGTACCAATCCAATCCTTCCAGCAGTTCCTTGATCTCAGAATCAATGCCGTAGTTTTCCACTAACTGTGTACGGATATTACGAGAGCTTTTAATAATTACTGAACATCATAGATTTCATAAGAAGAATTCTTGGTTTCCAGAAAAAAAATTGAGGCAACACCCTATACTGTTCCTGATATTTGTACGAACATTTGGTAGTCGTGTAGTTAGAACACCTCGTATGTTTTACAAGTTCCGTTCAAAACCCTGCCCTCCTTCCACAAAATTAAGGTAGCTGATTTTCAATATGATATCTTAGCGAACTATTGTAGATGATTCAAACACCTAAAGTTACTTTTCCTGCTTGTATCACAGCCAAATGTTTAGGTATTAAGTCCCAAAACATAAAAGTATCTTTTTGTTCTCTTATGGACCGGGGTCCTAAAGTATACACCATGGCGCTATACTACACGATCGACTACCGAAAATTCGCGTTGCAATTTTTTTTTGCTGTGCAGCTCAAAAGAATCAGAGGGCCAAAGTCATGCAGCTGTTAATCACAGAAATTTGCTAAGTACAGAAAGTATCTGCTTAGCAAAACAGGTCACAAGTGAAATATCACAGGCTGCCTATTGCATATAGCTGGTCCCCAGCTGATTGCCTGCTTAGTGAATACACGTACTATAAGCAATGATTTAAGCTATCTCGAGCAGTTATAATGATGCGACTGATCTCCATGTAAAAAGTCTGGATTGCTCGTTGGCCATTTGTTCAAAGAATTAAAGGTACGCGCTGGTTCCCGATCCCGTCATTCGAATATGTGGAGGGAACCAGTCTCAACCACACCCATCGATAAAAAAAACACCTAAAAATAGACTTGTCTTAAAGTTTACAAACTTTTTTTTTTAAACAGAAACTGCATATAAAACATATTACGCAGTTGTCATTTATACATTTGTCAATAAAAAATAATACGCTGGGCAAAAAAGTGTACATTGTAATATGTCAATTTAATAAGATATCTTTCTTTGCATAATGTTTGCAAACAAATCTATTGTTTTTTTGGAGCAGCAATATGGCGGACGGTGAATTCACTTCTAACAGTCAATGGGCTATCCAGATTTTTTTTGCATGGAGAACAGTGATTATGATACCATGACCGTGCATGACCTCATTTTACCGGTTTTACCTCATTGGTTATGAACATGACGGTAGCCGGTGACAGCCATTCTCTGGAATGGATCCCTCCCATGATGAAGATGGCTGGCTTCGTGCTCTCTGCGGCTTGGTACGGATCGGACACCTTATAGTGTAAAACAGAATTATAATCTTTTTATTTTTAAATCATTGGAGTTGTGTGCACAGGACGGGCCTGGGTGCTTAACCGACCTCCTTGGTTGTGTTATAGTTCCAAACACGTGCGTTTCAGTCATGTGCGTTTCAGAAACCTGTTTGCGTTCGTTAGCTCGGCCCATGCGAACGTGCCAACCTCAACTGGAACGATCATGTCAACGCAAACAACTGTTGTCAAAAATGGTGGCGCCCTGTATGCCAATCATAGTCATAGTACAGTTTGTCACTGTTCTATACTCCTCGAAAATTAATTGTGACTGGAGGTGAAATGGTGCCAGTATTTTTATGAAATGACTTGGGGTGTAGAAAACGGGAAATGTTCAGCCCCGAAAGAGTCATGACGTTAATTGTGTGTGTCAACCATTTTGGAAAAACAAAAGTAGCGAACGACTTATAGTAAGACCGTTCGCGTTGGTATCTAACGTCCCCGAACGTTACGGTAGCACTGACCAGTCTGCCCCACTTGCGCAAACGTTGCCAACGACTGGCAACGTTACAGCATTGTTCGCGTAGAAGTAAAACGCACCATGGCCTTTCAAAATTGTGGTTCCTGAATCATGCTGCTTCGATATCTGCAGAACTACAGATGTTACTGTCATCAAAGTATATTCCAAACCAAGATGTTTTAAAAGCAGAAAAAGTCAGCATTCAATACTGACCGTTTTGCTGTTTTTCAAAGTTATTTGCGAAAAACTGTAAAACAAAAATCGTTAGGGCCTGTTCTGTAATGAATTTTACTGAACTGATAAAACGGAATAACCGTATTTGTCCCCGTTTGACGGTTTTACAAAACTGTAAAACGACAAAACGGTCAATGGTTGTTTTACTGTTTTTGTTTTTGAGGAAAACCCAAACGGTCAAACGAAATAACGGTATGTACTGGGATTCTCCCCCTCCCCTGACCTCTATTCTATGAAATGGACGCTTGGCCTTCAAACTCTGACCATTCAGCGGGCGTCTTCTATCTTGTCTTCGGTAACCCGGTGTTGTATGAGAAAAAACATTGCAGCTATTGACCAATCAACAGCTTTGGCCGAATTTGCGCTCGAAATGACGTCACAACTTCTAAAGGCAGCTCCGATTGGCTGGCGCTCGGGAGTCGCACAAAATGTGTTTTTGCCTTAGTTGTAGTTTCTGTAAGGAAACAGGCTTTTTCAGCTGGTCTGAACATTTACTGCCAAGCCCAAGTAATTTAGGCTTAGTTGAAGTGGAAAAACAGTCATATATGTATAATTGGCCTGCCAAAAAAAATGGTCACCGTTTGCATGGTGACCATTTTTTAATAAGCATTTTTGTGTGTATTTGTGCTTAATATAGCAACCTCGCGGAAAATGTAACTCAGTTATTATTTAACACATAGGCCTACTCCAGCCAATGGATCCGGAAAACAATATATTGGAAGCACAGTTTGGTAATTTGATTGTAAAGAAATGCATGTGAGCCGCGATAACGTGTCTGCTGTGTCTGTGATATTTTCTGCGTGCATGTTTTATGTATCCGCATCCAAGCATGCAGTTTAAGGCTTTGCGTCACTTTGTAAATCATTATTAAAGGGAATATACAACATTTGCAAAAATCGAAAAATAAAACTACCAAGTTTTTGCGAAATACCTTAATAGGATGTTGGTAAATGACAGTCTAAAGCATCCTGTAAAATTATGGCACCTGGTATACTGTCATTTTCAAGAAAAGTGGTATTTTTGTATCAATTTCCAACGCTGATCGGCCGATCAGCGTTGGAAACAACTGGCTTTTTTTTCAAATACTGGCCCCAATTGACCATTGCACTTGTTTGCAATCGATTACAAACCTATGAACGGGTACGAGCCAGCTAGACTGGTTCCGTGACCTTACAATTCCCCAATGTATGTAAACTGCTCTGTTTCTTCTTATATGGAGTCAGGGAACCAGACTACAGGAAAATGATCGTTTTTCTTGTTTTTTATAGCATTTTCGAACCCAAAACCTCCAAAAAGTCAGTGTAACTATATTTGCTTTATATTTCCAACCCCCCAGTTCCATCCATTTCTGAAAATTACAGCAAAAGCAAATGATGTATATTCCCTTTAAGGGATGAACGGATGATTGGTTGATTGGGTTTATGACGTCCACCCCCAATCCATCATGGCCGAGTTTTCATGACAGAAATAATATAATATATGTCTTATAGTAACTACGAATATTGTTTATACACGGACTCATTTTAAACACCTGTTCCCTATGGTCAAACTTGCACTGGCACCAATATTGAGCCATAGGCCTATGTGAGTCAATAAAGAAAGTGACCGAATTAGAAAAACAAATATTAAACAAAGGTATATCTGGCTCGCTCCATTTCATATAATTAACGTAGGGACAAAGTACGTAATATTGACCAGTATGACCAAAAAATAGTTCTGCTTCCCATTTGAAAATAGGGTATAGATAGGTAGGGATTTTTTTCGGGGGGGGGGGGATTCTTTTTGTGTACAAGCTCATGGAGGTGTGAGGTGTCTGCGTGTAGTAAGAGTAAAAGTTAGTAATTGATGGTTTTGGTTCTTTCCATCATATTCCCCAAAAGAAATTAGGGTAGGGGCTGTCAACATAGGGGAGGTAGGGTAGAACTATTTTTTTCGGGGGGGGGGGGCATTACTCTGAAAGTTTAATGTAATTTGCGTACTAGTTACAGAACTGCCAATTCTCCCTGATTCTGCAGAAAGTTCCCTGAAAATAAACTAATCTTTCCATGTTCTGATGAACACAATTTGAAAATCTCCCTGATAATGGAACTTTTCCCCTTGTATCATATTCATAATTCTAAGTATCTCCCTGATTGTTGTACAAAATCTCCCTGATTGATGCAAAGTTGGCAGCTCTGTAGTTATGCCAAAAAAGATAACAAAATTCAGCTGTCAACCACCGAGTCATTTACCGTTCTTTGAACTGATGAGTTCCCATTAAATACAAACATACAATGAAACATGGACGTTTTCCCACCTCCATGAATGAACCAAACTAAGGGAAAAGACGGACAAAAATCGCCATCAATAATTCAAAAAAAAGAAAAAAGAGTTGACTTGTTTTTTCAAGGGTATTTTGGTGCCTTTTTGGTTTCTATGATAAGTGTGAATTGCCATTATTCATGATAAAAAGTGAGATGCCACTTATGTAGAAACCTCATTGTAGCTAGGGCCTATTACAGCACCAAAATTTGCCAGAATTTTGGATATTTTCTGTTTTTTGTGATTTGTTGTTGTTTTAATACATAACAGTAAGTCAATGAGCAAACGGATTCTCACAATTTAATGTTTTCAATGAGCATTTTTTTTCGTGTTCACAATTTGAACAGAAAACCCTCAACTGAAAAGTGTGCCGTACGCGGCAAGAGCGCCCTCAGGAAAGCATGGACCGTTTTTAATGTTTAAGGGAGTGCACTTTTTAAAACAAAATAAAGCCATTGTACCAAAAAAGGTACGTCAAATAGTATTCACAAATTTTAGGGATTGGAAAGTTGCAAAAATGTGTCCTAAGTAAAATTCATGTCATGATACCTTAAAGGCCTTTAAAAATGATTATTATTTTGGTACAATAAGTGCACTCCAATTGAAAAACAGTTTGCAGTGGTATTATTTGACTTGAAAAATTAACCTTTATTAGAATATGTATTTTGCAAAAAGAATTTGCCAAAAAAAAGAAGAATTTTGTCTTCACAGAAAGTATGGATTACTCTAATGGCCAAAAAGCCATGCTGGGCGACGCCTTTATAAGACGAACAAAAATGAGTTCAAGTACGCTTACTCAATCTTTATTCTACAAATTATATCTTGTAATGTAAATATCATGTGTTTTTCAATGCGTTTTGAAAAACCTACATCGTGATACGCTTGTTTTAACATGCGCAGTAACTCTAATAAGCCGGCCAATCATGCGTCGCGTCAACCTGCCCACGTCATGCATCAGTGACGAATTAACCAATCAGGTGCGACTTCGCTGTTTCATTCACAGCGGCTTGTCTAGTTCGTCTGAAGTTGATATTGCGTTTGGTAAATTAGTCAAAGCCAGCACGACATCAGCAGGTCTTGCACTGTTACCATGAGGTTGAGAACAAGCTACAGTTTTCCTTAACTTCCTCAACGTCATGGGGTTATGCCCGCACGCGATATGTAAACCTCAAAAAGACATCTTGCAGAAGATGGAGTCGCAAAGTAAATAAGAAACTGAAATTAAGGAACTGAAAGTGCTGCTGATCATTCTAACACATGTTAATTGCTGATCAGTTTGGCACACGACCGTCCGATTTGAACATCGCACCCTATAGAAAGATGGTGTCTATAGCCTATACCCCCCTTCCGTGTTTCGATTTTATGGAGGCTGGGTTTTTCACCGGGAAAAAAATCATGTCTACCTTTTATCGCGGGGGTCTGTTAGCATGGCGGTCTGTCGACAGATTTGTTGTAATATCACCCCTCCGTGGTGTGACATCATTCGTTTGGGGTAGGATGCAGAATCGGCGGAATGTGGGTTGTTAAACTCTTAGTACATGACTGTGTACGAGCAACTTACATTTTAGGGGCCAATATTTTCGGGTTTCATTTTCTTTCTGAAAACAAAGTGGATGGAAAAATTACTCTGCTCCTACCCGGGTCAACCAATGGGGATAGTATCTTCATATACCAGTGTTGTTGTAGTCGAGCCTAGGCCAATGTGTGCATGGATTGGTTCTTAGACCCTGCCTGATGGGTTTTCCTCAGACTATTCTTCTGGGGTTTTCCCCCATCACGTCTTAAACTGCAATTTCTTCACGTTGTCTTCTCCTTACTAAGACTTGACTCAAGTCGGAATGCTCTAGTCGTATCTACAAAAATTTAAACCACTTAGTATCTTTCCAGAAGCGCGACAAGTTATACACTTCAACACGCGTTCCAATCTGTGCCTAAAAATATCGTAATTTGGATGATGGATGTATCACATACCTTTAGGCAGTGTATGGGTCGCCCTTCGTACGACGTCGCTATCTCGTAAACTGTTACGATGTCAGGATAATCGGCGCCCAACGTGAACATCCATTCGTTGATCTTATGAGCCAAAGAACAAAATCAACATGGAAATTAAACATCTAGAAACGAGTTGAACCTTTTTTCTTCAACGATCTCTCTTTATAAAAGCCTTGAGCAGAGTTTAGTTATGATGTCAAATTTATGTATATAAACTGATTTAAAATGGATTTGTACGGATACATGCACTTTAATTTCCGTCATAGTAAAAGTGGGTCTAATTTGTTATTATATGTATTTATTGTTGCTAGTACCAGAGGGGACAGCCTATTATAAACCACTTTTTACCCGACTGGCTCCCGGACTCACTTACTGACTACCACTCGTGACAAACTGGATGTTGGCTGGTGAAGAGGGGCCAGACTAAATCCGACCCATTGTGTAAACAAGATGCTTGAAAAGACTCCCATGCAGCGAATAGACATTTTGAAACGATCCAATAACATTTTGTGAGCTTTGGGACCAGCTTACTAGGCTTGCATTTTCTTGTTTAATTTATATTTACAAAATATAACTGTTGGTATATAATATAAATAAGATTTGAAACCTTGCATGGCGGTGGTGTAAACTAATGAGGGTTTGCGGCAACATCATGTGGACGAATCTCTCAACCGGTTCTTTTCAGAACTACACATCTTCTCAAAACATATTATTCCATGCAGATATCCACAAACCCTCACTGGTATATACATGTAATGTAACCTTCTTTTTTTTAATGCAGATGTAGCAAATTTGTTTCTAATCATATCAGAAATGAATTAGATTTATTCGAGTAGAAAATGTATATCTGTGTACTTCGAAAATCCTTCCAAATTCTAAGTCCACCCACTTTGGTGATTCAAATTTCGCAAGAAGAGTTTGAAACGATCCATACCTGGGAGAGATTTTGGTAACTTCCAAAGAACTCTTTCTCCTCCTCGGTGTTGATCGCGCTCTGCTCCTCAAAGGCTTCCTGTATGTCCTCTATGATCGTCTTAGCTTCCAGGCCGCCATCTTGGAGGAGGTCGCTGAGGTAGTCTTGGTGCTCGGCAGAGACCATGATGTCCACATCCCCGTGCACCGACCTCGGCTCCCGCCAAAAATCCAACTAAAAATCATAAAATATAGGGTGTCCCACACAAAAGAAAAACGACCCCTCAAAGCCCCCTCTTTTTCACATCTTTCAAAAAATGCATCGCAAATATTGATTTACATTTAGCGAGTATAATTCATTAGCTTTTCAACACAGAAAAATCTTTCCAATCGGGTAACTATTTATTGAGTTATGATCAATTGAATACAAGTACCGCTTTTTCGTTTTGTCCACGACGACTGATATTTTGCATGCCGCAACAACAAAAAAAAAGTCCGAAACTTGCATTTGTAAAAAAGGCTATACCAAGTTGGGGGTAGCGACAGAGCAGCACAGTAAAACATCTAAGAAAAATAACCAAACAGTCCTTTTCAGGACTACCATTATTTCCAAAAGGATATTGACTATTGTTAACAAATAGTAAGACATAAAAAAAAACAACGAAATAAAGAAAGACAATAAATTTAAACATTAAAGAAAGCAAAACTACCCTCACCCCAAATCTATTACATTCCTAATAAATGACAATTGAGACCGTGGATGGACAGATTGAAAAATCGGCACTTGTTTTGAATTCGTCATAAATCAATAAGTATTTACCTGATTGGAAAGATTGTTTCGTTGGGTGAAAAGCTCATGAACTGCACTCTCCAGATATGTTTCGATAGTTGCGAGGTATTTTTCTAAAGCTGTGAAAAAGAGGGGGCTGTGAGGGTTCGGTCTGTTTAGACACCCAAGTAAACTTGAACAGTCACGTATATTAACCCAATACTGAATGGCCTCATTTAAAATAAAGAAAATAACCGCAAGTTGTAAAATAATTTTCACCCCCCCCCAAAAAAAACCCACCCAACGTGAGTACATGGAGCTAGGAATATGTTATAAAAACGGATGATAACAGACGAATCCCAAACTTAGCTCTGAAAGAGAGGCTCTCAGTGCTAAACCACTGTATGAATTGAGGACATTTAAAAAAAAGAAAATCCCCTCAACAAAAGACAACACTAAGGCCATCGGCTTCAGTTCCAATTCGAAATTCCTCTATGAGTGAGATAATGTGTGGTGCTTATATATAGCGCTTTATACCAAAGGTAGGTCCTAAAGCACTTCAGGATTATTAACTCTGTTCATTGGGCCATGAGACCACTTTTTTTGCAGCAGCGATCAGCGCAATCTGGTATCAGAAGTACCCATTTATACTCCTGGGTGGAGAGATGCAATTGTAGTAAAGTGTCTTTCCCAAGGACACTATAGCACCGTGTTCCCCGTCAAGGTTCGAACCCATTTACCATTGGTCCAACACCGTATATCATAGGACCACGAGTTTGTGCCCTGACGAATAATTGTCATTATGGATGAAAAAAATATATCATTTTATCATTTCGAGAGTAAAATAATAATTTGGATGCGAGATGAGCACTACCATCGTCACATATTTGTATGGCAACTTTGCGCATTAGTGAATTAAGGCACGCTCATAAGTACTTGAATAATATTAAGACATTTTGGCCACCTCGTGAAAAATATCCATACCCTGTTTATATAAAACTTGTTTGCCTATTTGTCAGCATCTGTGGGCGCCGTATATGCACGTCCTTAATATCCACAATTTTACTGAACCTGTGGTGGATGTAAATAACAGTTTTGTTTCCGCTAATATTGGCATATATACGTTAGAGTAATGATTATGCCTATGGACCACATAGCAGTGTTTGAGGAGTAAACCGCATTTCGTGCATTTTAGTAAGGCCAAAACACGGAGGAATAAGGCACTTCCAGTATCGAGGATACCATAGCCGGGAATAGTCTATCGAATATCCTCTTGCACAGCAAGGGTCTATGATACTGCGAGCAGAATCGGCGATAACTTATGCAAAACAAGTCTGCGTCTTGACCTCGAGATTCTGACCATTCAGCGGGCGCCTTCTGTCTGATTTTCTGTAAACCCGTTGTTGTATTACAAAAACACGGCAGCCAAATTGACCAATCAACCAGGGTGACCGTAAGGTCAGAGCAAAATTCTGCTAAATGCAAATCAAAAATCTGTCAGATTTATCAAAAATCTGCCAAATTCCCCAGAATTACTCGAAATACACTATAACCACATAAAATCACATGTAGGTAGTATTGCCTTAATTTTAGATTCAAATTACATAATAAACAATCTACTAGTCACATAAAGATGTGAAATTATTGCTAAATTTCGGGCAAAACGCAGATCAGGCCACGATCAAGTCTGTTTCCCAGTGAACCTCAGCACGCACCTAGACCAGCCATTCGTGTCCCATTATGCAAGGGTTTGTTTGAAAGGATTGAAGCGTTTTTAAACAAATGTACACTTTTTTGTTCAAATTTGCTGTTTTTCTGTCAATTAACCATTTTTGCAGAATTCTGCCAGAAATCTGCCAAAAAATATCCATCCTGTCAAATTTTCTGTCAAACTTATTTTTTAACAAAAATTCTGTCAAAGTTAGCCGAAAATCGGCTAAAACGGTCACCCTGCAATCAACAGCTTAGTTCACGTTTCTGATCGAAAGATGTCACGGTATCTGAACTGCGCCTTGACCTCGAGATTCTGACCATTCAGCTGTCGCCTTCTAATTCTATAAGTTATCCGTAACCCGTTGTTGTGTTACAGAAACATGGCAGCTAAACTGACCAATCAACAGCTTGGTCCACATTTCTGATCGGAATGACTAAACAGTTTCTAAAGTCGACTCCGACTGGCTGGTTCGCGGGGTCGCGTAAAATGTACATGCTATCAGACGTTAGTTCGTGTGGCTCTGCATATCACGCGAATGTCTGATCCTTAGACTAAGCCGGGAATGGGGTGTAGTTAAAATGGTTTCAACGTGTCTTTATTCAAACTTAGAATCCGTTACTGAAACGATGTCCATCAAGCTCGGTTTGAGAGGAAATGATGGGCGTTTTGAGTGCACATTTTGTGCACTTTGGTATAAATGCAACTGAATACAAGTTCTCCTTTACCAAATGCATGTACTAGCTTCCTTAGTGCTTTACCATACTGTGGGGTCCAAAAGTGTGACTTTTTGTGTGTGTATATTATGTTACACCTGACCTGTGTTAGTTGCCATACAAGTATCATTAAAATTGACTTCCAACATGTTTTATGTGTTTTGCTTTGCATAATCACTCTTGGAGATAGAAAGCATTAAAGAATGTGTCTTGCATTTACAAAATCTAATGGCAGATGTAACATATACACGAAACACAAATGGACCCCGAATTTATGAAATGACCGTAGTTCAAAGCTATACGCACTCTTTCATCCGCCGCATCGTGGATCCTCTTCACTGCCTCCAGGTCCCTCCTATGACGGGTATGCACCCTGAGAAGCTTGTAGCTGATGAGACAGGGGAATGAGAGGGGAGAGGGAGGGGGGATTGAGAAATATTTTTCACTCGAATTTTTTTCTGGATTTAGCCCATTCATTAATTGACGTTACGTGGTAATCACATTTCAAACTCCTATCATTTTTTGAAATCTAAATCCTATATGACATTGTGACCCGCTCAGTGGCGTCACCAGACTTTTCAGTCTGGGGGGGCACAGGGGGGACACCAGCATTTGATGGGGGGCACTTAGGTGGATACGGATCGCCGTCCTGGGGGAGGGGTCTAAGGGGAGGGGGTGCCCCCCTCCCCTTTGGAAAATTTTCGCATACGGAGGATGGGCTAGATGCAAAATGGTGCCACATTTGATGCTAAATTCGATCTGAAGATATCTCCAGAAATTGCTATTAAGTTAACCAACTCAAATGATGGGAGTTGAATATAACAAAATATACATATATTTTTTTACCAACCCAAATCTCAGATGGGGGGCACTCGGGGGGGGGGGGGGGCACTAGGTTTTCCAGGGGGGGCACGTGCCCCCCCTGGCCCCCCCTTGGCGACGCCACTGGACCCGCTCTGCAAAAATGAGTATGTTGTGGCTAATCTTTTTGAGCATGGACTTCTCTAGGATATTTGGTTACAATGTTGTGCGCTTGTGCATTTTTTTTTTACAAAGCTAGAAGAAACGTCTCTATGGAGAAAAAGGGTTTGAAAAAGGACGTTATACTGTAACTAACCAAGAAAGGCACCTTGTCTCGTCGAACTTAACATAATAATTATGTAACAGAAAGGACATTCACAAAACTGCATGCATGTAGTTTTGTGAAAGATGGATAGGCCTACCCGATTTCAAAAAAAAAAATATTTGAAACATTTTTTGTAGACATGCGATTGAAAATAGTACATCATAGGAAACCCCTATTAATTAGCTGTCATCTGGTGAAATGGATAATACGATGCGACACAATTTCTGAAATTTACAAGTTTCGAAATCCTAATAGGGGAAAAACAAAGTTGTCCACAGAAAGACGTGTCGGTTTTACTCCAGACTAGGCATGAATGACATACGCACATAGTTACATGTGATCCTTAATCATTCTCGGTCATGTGAAAGGAAAACGAAAAGGAGACGAAAGTGGTTTCAGAAAGCTGCATTCGTGACAAATGTTTGTAATCTATCAGCTCTGCAATAATCAGAAACATACCGCAGGGATTGACTCAATCAATAGCCATTCCCTTCATGTGTAAGGTTTAAAGTGCGCGGCTTTTTTCCCCCGCCTGATTCAATGATCCGAGTGGACAAAATTGATTTTCATTATTTTACGGGTTTTTTTGGGAGGGGGGGGGGGGTGAACTCTGTGTCTCTCGAACCCGACAAAAGCAAAACTGATGAAACAAAAAAACAGATGATTGTTAAAACCTTGTAGTTTGTGTTTTTTCTTTAAATTGCTTTTCTTTAAGTTGACGAAAAAATTAAATCCTTTTTACAGGTACCTATATCTTTCTGACTAACCCTGTATTCCGTCACACAGTATTAAATATCGACCAATTCTAGCAACAAAGTGTGTTATATGTTTATTTCAATGAAGAAGTGCGTTATGTTTTTTTTATTGCAATGCGGAAGTGTGTCCAATGGAATTACCCGAAGTATAGGTACAGTATTTTACATGGCAAAAAAGACTACATGGTAAGAATATAAGCAACAACAAAAAATTGTCAAAACAATAGTTATCACAGTTCGTATGGGTTCCTCTATGGATGACCGCATTAGTGATTGCATTGGTGGATGTCTGAAATCACTTTTTCCCCATGTGATGGCAATTTGTTTTCATAATGATTTCTTAAGGGATTTGGTGTAATCTGCACCCTGTGTATATGTTAATTGTAGTAACTGAAACCGGATTGTTGTTTTTTTAGGAGTTTTGTTTTTGTTTCACTTCGATTGCTTCGTGTGCATATTACTGCTTTGTCTGTCTGTTATCTGGTACATACTACTACATAATATTTGGGTTTTGTCGTTTTATTTTTAAATTCATGTGAAGAGAAGATGGGGGTTGCACCCCCCCCCCCCCCCCCCCCCCACCGTTCACTGCCGCTTACTGATGTTATGATACATTGAAAACGAAAAACATTCTAAAGTTATTCTAAAATTGCCTTAGAATGCAGGAGAAAGCATCGTAGATTTCAGAAATTTTCCGGTTGGGGATGCCCCGGACTGGACCGTGCTTTCGGCACGCCTTCACTCAAATCGACTTATCTGAAAGCTAGATCCGCTCCTGAAGCTCCGCAGATGTTATTGATAAAGATTACACAGAGGACTTAAATTAGTATCAAACATATGTTTGGTTTACTAATCCGACTGACAACTGCTCGTCAACATTTTAGAACAACGAAGATACTCACCCATCATATCGCGCTGGGTCGCAGTTAAGCTTGGCCACAAAACCCACTATTATGAACAAAATGGCCAATTTTAACATCATAGAACCGGCAACACCGTTTCCGCCCGAATCTGCTCCAATGGCAAGTTTATGATATCCGAGTTGACAGTAATGCGATGATGATGATAATGTTCCCCAAACAACGTTCGGTACCAGTACTAATCCAATATTACCCGGAATACCACCACTCAGTTTCTCGCTATAGACTTCACATCCAGTCTGAACTTTTTGCATTCAGTCGCAACATTATCGTACCGGTTATTATTTCCCTCAGCGTCCACCAGTCGTGTTTTGAGATGGCTGGAATTCAAGTCTAAGTTAATAACACGTATATAGAACGAGCGCTGCGCGTTTAATTAGTACACGAAGGGTGCTGCAAGCTTGACGGGACATTTTCTACTTTTAATTAGAAATCCTCCAAATGTCAATATTGTTATACCGTAACGGGATACCAGCATATTGTATACCAATCAACTAAATCGTTTCAAACATTAATTGTATTCATTGTTTTGGAATGGCTTGCGTTTAAAGTATTTAGCCTGGCATGAGAATGACTATAATTTACAGCTTTGCAACCCAAATATTTTTGGAATTTTTTAACTGGTGACGTGTTTCTGTCGAAGTCCTATTAAACCTGGGCTTTTTAAGAAATCCACCGGATGTTTTGGTTGCATCGTTCCTGGCAAAATTGTATCAACGGATGCCGTTTGGTTTTAATCTAAAGTGAATTTGGAACATTTATTTCCTTTTCGGGTAAGAATGAACATTTGGGCCTACGTGCGACAGGATACAAAAGCCAGGATGTGCCTGTACACGTAGACGGTAAAAAACAATGTATATCGTGGCGAACCATTACAAAATGCGACTAACCATACAGAAGACAATAGAGAAGACAAAAGTCTCAGTTCATAGCCTTACACATTGTCAAAATTTGGGGGGGTTTTTTTTTTTGGGGGGGGGGGGAATTATGAACCGTAGAATTATAATGCATAATGCGTGCGCGTGCACTGTCCACCGCCAATGTGAAACAAAACATGAAGCAGAAGCCTACCACGAGAATTAGAAATTATTATAGTTGTATTTATATAACCGACAGACAGATCCTTGTCATTTGATTGGTGGAACTCACATCACGTGGCATTCGTTATTGCTCCCATTCACGCCGGGGGTCAAAACGTCCCATTCGCCCATGGGGAATGGGAAATATTATAACCACTCGCCCACACATTCTATGTCTTGATTGGCCGATAGCGAGTCACATGGTACATAAACATTGAGTGGCTTTAAATTATGAAATGGGAGGAATATAATCGCAAGGTAAAATCTGGAGTTTTCCATTTCACGAGGCGAAGCCGAGTGAACTGGAAAAGTCCAGATTTTACCGAGCGATAATATTCCTCCCATTTCATAATTTAAAGCCACTTAATATTTGGTTCATATTTCTGACATATAAATCATTGTCATTTGGTGGAAAATGCATTTCTCTCTTCCAAACCACCCCTTCACGAAAATGTTTGAACTCAACTTTTGTACACCATTTGCAAAACGTCAGCTTGGTTTGCGGTGTGGCTTTTTAGAGATTACAGTCATTTATATAAATTTTGTGTGGAAATTGAGTGATGCCAGTGATGAAGCTCAGCTGGAACGAAGCCGAGCTTTGGAAAGTTCTCAAATGCCTTTCGAGCGACGCATGAGGGCAGCATAATGAAAACATAAACACGTGGCTTTTTGTCAGTCAACTGTCATGACTGTACCAGCGGTCAAACTGTCATCAGTCATATACATCGCGATATGACCGCGTTGTTGGCTAGAAACACCGAATTGATCACAGTCGGCACTGCTGCTATAAATAAAGTCAGTAAAGAGATTTGTTTAAAATGATAGATAGAACTAACGGGGAAAAAAATCCATACTACTGGGCCACCACAGATTGCTCCCTGCACAAAGTCTATGGGCCATGACACTGACAGTGACAGAACATTTACTATATTATCAAAGAATGTTTGTACTCCTTAAACAGTGTTTCTTCATCAGATTTACAACTTTTGGTACTTTTCAGGTCATTAAGGAATATGAGTGGTGGCCCAGTATGGATTTTTCTCCATCAGAGCTGTTTTGTTTTAAGTTTTATCTAGTCCGGGTAGGGATGACCCTGTTGTGGCTTTCCGTTGTGATTTGTGCTATCACATAAGAATGCGCATTCTTATAATTGTGCAACTGGATCCTTGTGCAATCTTCGAAGAAAAAATCTTCCAGATTGAGCGCACATTCTTAAGAATGCGGAACAAGATAACAGGCTTGTCGATGCCGAGCACCGGCTGCGCTTGGCAAGTGCATCCTCGTTCACTGATTCTTAATAATTATACTTTTGGAACACAAGGTCACTTACCTAGATAAAGACTTAACGATGAAAAGTAGAGTGGATATGAAAGTATACATTGTTGATGTACCCTAACGTGGCGTGGCCCCTAAATGTGGCGCACTTTGATTTTTCGCCTGTAGCGCCTAGCTAGAGCAAAAGTTTTAACTGAAATTTCACCGAAAGTGAAATTTCATCAAGTTCGAAACACTCCCGTTCATAAATCGCGGGTAAATTTACCTGCTACAAAGTTAAAAGAAAAATGTATTTTGGCGTGATTTTCCGATTTTATTTTCAAGTGCAAAGTGAACCCTTTGAAAATGCCCCGAAAAATAAGAAAATAATTTTCTGACAAACATCTGGCTGGGTATGTAAGTAGAGATAATAATGATTTATCAGAATTTATCAAGTTTACAAAAATTCTTAAATGTTAATTTGGAATTTTCCGAGATTTATTTAAGTGCGCCACGTTAGAGAACACTCCGCCAATTTGTGCCCAATTTCCGGACGCCACCGTTTTTTTAAATTTCGGCCTTAATTTTATGAAACCGAAATTGTTCACAGGGGTTAAATAGCAAGCATTAATAAGGTAAAAGTACCAGTATTTAACTGCATGAATTTGAGGTTTGTCAACAAAGAGCTTTGGCAACACTACACGAGGAAAGTTGGGTAAGCTTCGAAGTGTGCCACATTAGGGAACACGACTACACGTATTCGGGGGACCGGGAAAAAAATAATAGACATGACAAAGAAAGAATTCTGATTTTTGGGATAACAAAAGCGGGGTGGGGGTGGGGGGGGGGAACCTAAAAATGAAGAATGTGAAGAATGAGAATAAAAACTGTGACATCCCATAGCGTAGTATTTGCCACCTTGCCTCCAATTAATTGTTCACACCCCCACCATTACGCCGCAGAGCTGGATTCTGTCTAGTCAAATGAGCAATTTTGGCAGCTTCTGGACATCGGTTTTTTTTGCGTGAAAATGTAGGTTAAATAGGATTTTCTGGAATTCTGATTACATTTTGTGGGGGTCAAGGATTAACCGCGAGAAAAAAAAATGACCTTCAGAGTGTCAGAGGTTGGCTCTCTCAGTTCCAGTGGATCATGGTAATGCCCAGGGGCCGGGCGGAGGGCCTGGGGGGGGGGGGGGGGGGAGGGGGGGGGGCATGCCACCACCCACCCCGAAGCTTAAGGTAGCTGTTATAATGTAGTTTCTTCTGCTGGCAGTGCTGCACTTTGCCTATGCGCATGGCGCCGGCCACGTACATGTAGTTCGTGTAGCTGGGTGAGTTGCCGTGGGTGTGAAAGTGAAATTGAGAGATTGGTTTGAGTAAATGAAAGAACATGGATACAAGGACGGGAAAGTGTACAATTTAGCCCAAAATGTGATTAAACACTAATTTACCCTGACCAAACACTACCTGACACACAATCTTCACGAATTGCTTGACGGATGTAATTAACTAAAACCCCGCATTATGAATGGTAGGTGCCGCGTATGCACGCTGACCCACTTTGGTGGTGTGCGCGTGTGGCAGGGCCAAATTTAACTTGTAGTTTTTACTGTATTGCTTTTAGTGTTGAAGTATAGGTGTAGCTCCCCTGCATAAATCACCCCTTTTTATTAGATGTCCCCTACCCTTTCATAGAAGTGTATACCCCTGATTAACTTTTCCCTCTTCCCCAGTTATCCCTTAGAACAATGGCCCCTTTGATAAGACCATGTGCTCTGCCACCCTGTAAGTCCAAAGCCCCTCACTTAGCGGACCAGCGGCATAGAAGAGAGTTGTTTTATTGGCGAGTTGCTCTCTTTCTCCTTTCCTTGGGAGCGCCTGCCCTGTGTGTTTATCTGCTCAAGTCACCTGGTTTCAGTCAGAGTGCATTTAAAGTTCACTATTTTGACGCTCTGTGTTGGTTTTGGGTTTGAGTTGGTTTTAAGTTGGTTTTTAAGTTGGTTTTACTGTTGGTTTTTGGTTTTAGTGTTTTATCTCAGTTTTTGTAGTTTTAACTTGGTTGTTTTTGGTCTCAAGTTTGTTTCATTTTAAAATCCTTTTCTTAATAAAATAGTTCGCGACTTGTTCTTAGATCCTGGTCTTGTATTAAATTATTTGTGTCGAGTTGAATCCCCAAGTCTGTCATTTTTCACGGTTACACGCGCACATGAATGACGTTTTTAGAAACCGTAAAATATTTTTAATTTGTACTATATACCTATTATTATTAACCTACAAAACCACTTAAACGTACTACAATGACAATATGTTCCCATTCTCCTTGTCAGAGTCATATTATAAAACATTGCTTACTGGAATGTATAACGTGTTCCTCATGTGTTCTCTCAGCATGCATATGATACATACAGGGACTTGTAACTTGTCTAGCACGGCCTATGCAAACCTGACTAGTTCCCAGTCCTCCGTTATTACAAAACTTCCCATATGTGGGCAGAAAAAAAAGCAATAAGGCAGGTTAAATTTGATTCAAATTATCGTAGTTGTACTAGTATACAGAAGCATAGATCATTTTCTTTCCTCGCTATATGAATTATTTCCCCTTTAACCGCTATACATTTCATTTAACAATTATGCCGTGCAATGTTGTTAAGATTGTGCAAAATCCATAGATTGCGCACGTGATATTCCTACGCAATCGTAAGAATGAGTGCTCAATTTTCAGATAGCGTGTTCATTCTTATGAATGCGCGCTCGTTCTTAAGAAAGAAGGTAAATTCTGGGTAAACATTCAAATTGAGATACATATGTACAACCTTGTCTGCTAAGTTCACAAAGACATATTTTATAGCATTGATGTTTCACTTATCCAAATGTAAATACGCCTGAGTCAATCTCAAGTTCATGGGTACATATTAAGACTTTTGAACTTTGGAATGCTTCTAATTCAAAGTTTGAAGTTTATTGATCTGCTTGTGTCTGTGGGATTATTTTGTTGTGCATTGCTTACTTGAAAACTCATATTTAAACTTACAAATATATTTAATGCTAAAAAAAAGAACAATTCAATCTATTTTCTTAATGTGTTCATTTGTCTATCAGGTCTTGACTCACGAGATAACCATTCCACCAGCACCATTGATGTATAACAGATCATATTATCACTATCTGACGTGACATCATTTCACCTCGGAGATCTTCAAGATTGAGATCCAAAACCTCCCAAAGACATTTTGGATTTGCGGTGAGTTTGCTCCCTAAACATTGAACCCCCAATAATGATAATCATACAGTTTGTGCTCTTTGAAGAGTTGCCATTGCCAACCATGGTTGGACTTCAAATGTCTTAGGCCAAAAAAATTAAGTTTCTGGTATGTGCGCGCATCGCTGTAGCCATGCCTGTCAGCAAAATGCAGGGTGACCGTAAGGTCATGGCCAAATTCTGCTAAATGCACTTCAAAAATCCGGCTGTCAGATTTATCAAAAATCTGCCAAATTCCCCATAGTTACTCAAAATACACTACAAACACTAAATATCACATGCAGATGTTGTAGTATTGCCTAAATTAAGGCTCAAATTACAAATATAGGCAATCTATAGTCACATGCAGATGTTATGAAATTGCGTAAATTTCAGGCAAAATGCGGTTGCATCACGACGAAGTCCGGTTCCCAGTGAACCTCAGCACCTAGACCAGCAAACCTGTCCCATTATGGAAGGGTGTGTTTGAAAAGATTGAAGCTTTTTTAAACAAGTGTACCCTTTTTTTTCAAATTTTCTATGTTTTTCTGTCTAATAACCATTTTTGCAGAATTCTGCCAGAAATCTGCTAAAAAATCCATTCTGTCAAATTTTCTGTCAAACTCGTTTTCTTTAACAAAAAATTAAGTCAAAGTTAGCCGAAAATCGGCTGAAACGGTCACCATGGCAAAATGAAAAAGATAGTTTTTCAATGTAAGGTGATAGGCCTATGTCTAAAAACTGCCAAACTCACTGGTCTGACTGGAATCCTGCTGCTGCACAATTTTAACGTGTTTTTAGATGGGGTTATGATCGAGTATAAGCCTCTCTGGACTCCCATATTTTGCACTAACTTTAGTCTGGCACCATTTGCAGTCATCAGCCGACATAAGAGAAGGGAAAAAAAGCCGCGTCGCCGCACTACTTTTGGGGCAAGCTCCATACCAGAAACCAGAGACTTTTTTGGGGGGTCTTAAGGTCTTTTAATAATATAACAAAACTAAAGGGCTGTGGAATGAATTTCACTAAAATACATGTATTAGTAATACATGTATTTTAGTGAAATTCATTCCACAGCCCTTAAAGGGAATATACATCATTTGCTTTTGCTGTAATTTTCAGAAATGGATGGAATTGGGGGGTTGGAAATATAAAGCAAATATAGTTACACTGACTTTTTGGAGGTTTTGGGTTCGAAAATGCTATAAAAACCAAGAAAAACGATCATTTTCCTGTAGTCTGGTCCCCTGACTCCATATAAGAAGAAACAGAGCAGTTTACATACATTGGGGAATTGTAAGGTCAGGGAACCAGTCTAGCTGGCTCGTACCCGTTCATAGGTTTGTAATCGATTGCAAACAAGTGCAATGGTCAATTGGGGCCAGTATTTGAAAAAAAAGCCAGTTGTTTCCAACGCTGATCGGCCGATCAGCGTTGGAAATTGATACAAAAATACCACTTTTCTTGAAAATGACAGTATACCAGGTGCCATAATTTTACAGGATGCTTTAGACTGTCATTTACCAACATCCTATTAAGGTATTTCGCAAAAACTTGGTAGTTTTATTTTTCGATGTTTGCAAATGTTGTATATTCCCTTTAATAGCCAAGCCTCCTGTTTTATGAAAGTAAGAACTACATGTACATCCTTTTTTTGTCAAGTGCATTTTTGCATTTTTACAATATCCAAACCTCGTTCACAATTGTTTGTATGCTGCTGTGATGTCGATATAGGTATATGTACATGTATTTGACAGTTTACAGCTTTGGGATTTTCTATGTAATTTGTGAACCTAAAATTCATTGCATTGTACATAAATGCACACATAGCAGTTTGTACGTTAAAGTATGCCTGCCTGCCATGTGCTAAATGAACAAAAATAATCGAACTCGGCCAAAACACTTTTGTAACTTTTTGTCTTCAAACAGCAGTGGCACTAAAGTTCCAGCTCATGACATCACTGTATTGCTCATGAATATACAACTTGGCTCTTATATGAAAATATTTAAAAGCCTGAAGCATCCTATGACTTAATATACAGAGGTGCATTTCCCAAAATAAAAACCTCAAAATCTGTTTCAATTAGGCACTTAAAAAAGTATACTTACAGTGGAAAAATGTCGGGGTTATCTGTATGTTAGTGCCAATACATGTATATTTTCACATGAAAAGTAACAAACTTGCTCATAGAAACACACACACAAATCTCATTCAATTAACAATTAAAATGAATAGAAGTTGTAATTTCTGATCCATTTGCATACATGGAATGAGTTCCAGCTGTTCCCTTTACTGAGAGTTGGTTGCAATCTGCTCTGGGCCTGCACATTAATGATGTCATGGTGCATACATGTATTGGAAATCCGCTCAAGTAAAACACATTTCAACTCCAGCATGATAACTGTTAATTAATGTTTCTCGACATCAAATCCACTTGGCATTCAAATGAAGAAGATGTATGAAAAAGCCTTAAAATTGCTCGTCGGTTTGAACACTACACAGCAAGTTCAAAAGCACACTGACTGTTCACACTGCTTCCTTTACATGGATGGCTTGCACTCATCAGTTACCTGGGAACATTGTTCTTGACACCTTTCCAACGATTGACTCCCTTCTGGTTCTGGATGTGCATGCTGCTGCCCTTGTGCTGATGGCTCGGTGCCAGTCAGCCCAGGACATTGTTCCTGAGTACTTGCAAGTGACTGCTGGCTCTCTGCTGGTTCTGGATGTACACACTGTTCCCCTTGCATGGATGGCTTGCAGTCAGTCAGACTAGAGCATTGTTCCTGATGAGAACTTGCAAGCGCTGGGGTCCCCGCTGGTTCTGCATGTACCTCAACATGCACTTGAAAATGCTGCTGACTGTGCATGGATGCCTTGCTGCTGCTTTGCCTGGAACATTGTTCTTGACATCTGCCCAGTGACTGCTGACTCTCTGTGTATTGTGCATGCCCTTGGCTTGGTGGCTTGCTGCTGCTTGGCCTGGCAGCACGGTGCTCTTGCTCATTTTCTGCCTGTGGAATCACACGAAGCTCAATCTGCTTCCCTGGCTGCGATCGTTGGCTAGGATTCTGTCTTGGACAGCAACGACAGCACAGTTTGAGGAATGAAAAAGTCTCGACTACAGCTTCACGATAGTCAGCATTTGTGGCACTGTAGACCAGGGAATTGATGGAGCTATTGATCAGTTGGAAGATTACTAGGCATATTCTCAGAATAATTATTTTTTCTCCAAGTTTTAGAAATTCAACAGCCTGGGAAGGCACACTTGTAAAATAAGTCCCTGCCACAATGACAATAATTACAACTGCAGTGTCCAATGAGTTCAGAATGAAAAAAACAGCAGTATTGATGATGACCATACAGAGGACCTTGCCTGCTTGTTTGGGACAGTTTGGCATCAGGGCTGATTGCTTGCGTACTTTCAATACTACATAGATGTACAAAGCAATAGTTGCTATTAAACAGACAATGTTGATAATGGAAGGAATCCAAAAGATGATGTCAGTGAAGACGTCCCGTGTTATTGGTAAGAATACTAGAATCACACCAACAATAATTGTTGGCACCCAGAGTCCTGCTGATATCTTTGCTGCTCGAGATTTAGAGGCTTTTGCTTTGAATGTCAGAGGATTGTGCACTGCGGAGAATCTCTCAGCTGCTATGGTAACCACAAAGAAATTAGAAGCAGCTAGGAACATGCATCGTAAAACTCTGATTGCCTTTTGGACAAAGATGTTGTATTCTATTGGTGAAATAAACAATGCAAATATAAATTGAGTCGTAAGGAAGAGTGAGTCAGCCACTGCCAGATTGGATAGGTAGATGTTGATGATTGTACGCATGGACTTCACTCGAATGACTATGAAGAGAAAGACAAAGTTAATGAGGAGGCCGATTGGTGCAATGATTTCAGCACTTAACCATAGTATTTGTTGATTTCTGTCTTCACTCTTGTAATAGTTCTCAAGATGCTTTTGTACTTCAATTGATTGAGTTGAGCTGTTTTGGTAGCCATCACCCATAGTTCATGTACAGTGTAGCATTGATCTCCATATCCAACATTTTGTTCAGATGCAGCAAGGAGTGTTCTGTCTTATTTCAAGATCACTCCAGTTTTATACTAACAGGGAATATAAGATCATGAGAAATGTGTAGTTGAAACAGAAAGTTTCTTCATATTTTCTTCCTATTCTCTAGACATAATGTAATGCACATGACAGTAGTAGCTGTAACCAAAGTAGACAACTCAGTTTTGTACTCGGGCAATTGACATGAACGCGCAGAATTAAGTTTGTTTCAGTTTTTATGACGTGTATTTGCTCCAGAATTCTTTTTACATTGTTAAAGTTACTGATTATGCAAAGTAACATTCACTCAAAACTTCTTTCATTAATCACCAACTTAACATTGTACATGTAGACCTATGTTAACAAAAAGACAACTTTCATTATTAAAAATCCATGCTGCCTGTCCTCATCAAGAATTTCATGGTTTTTTTTTTTACTGATGAATAGGCCTATTTCACGTTTTATGTTTTATTTTGAGAAAAACTCCTACTTTTTTGGATATTTTGGTCTTCTCTGCAACCCTCTGAAAAAAAAACTTATTCACTTGCATTTGCACACAATGAGATCCTGCTGGTGAGTGAGTGGTCTGGTTCCTGGCCCATTCCCCTACATGTCATATTGTGATAGGATTGGGAAACAGTCTACCATGCGAAAAACTAAATAATAAGAATTGATTCTTTGTTTGATGTCTCAAAAGCGAATAACTCTTGTATTGCTGGAAAAATCACAGTTAAACAATGAATCTATATTCTTTATTGAACCTTGAAAACAGTTTAGACTGTATATCTTTAAAAGCCATGAAGGTATTGTACAGTAGATAGTAATTTCTGTCAGTTGCACATACAATATGGCTTTGCGCTCAATTCAATTGAAATAATTACTTGTGTAAATGTATATTTCATGCAGGAGAAACGGTTGCATGCATGAAGTGT